CTCCCACGGCGGGAGGAGGGGGAGCTCTCTGGGGTCTCTTTTGTAAAGGCACAGTCCCGTCCTTAAGGGCTCCACACTCACGACCTGGTCACCTCCTAAGGACTCCACCACCACATGGAGGATTGGGACTTCAACATAGGGATCCGGGGCAGGGCACAAACATCCAGCCTGCAGCACCTCCTGCGGGCCGGAGTGTGGCAGGCCTGGGGCTATGGGAGATTAAGACAAGGTTCCTGTCTTCAAAGGGCTTGGTCTCAAGCGAGGGCGTGCAAAGGGCCCTGGAAGACGTGGGCCATAAGTGCTGTGATAGAGGCAAGGGGAACGTGGGCACCCAACGGCAAGGCCTAACCCAGCTGCACGGTGGCACCAGTCTGGGAGGACTTCCTAGAAGAGGCAACGGGAATTATAGTAATATTATTTTGTTGTGCCTATGCATGGCTGGCACCACCCAGCATTTCTCCTCATGGCATTTATTTCTCAGAGGGTCAATTTATGAGCGCACATTGGGTATACCTTGCTTTCACAAATTAACCACCACAGGCACCGAGCCCATTGTCCTAGTTCAGGGACCTGGGGCTCAGAGAGGTTGAGTGACAGGCACATGGCCACACAGCTGGCAAGTGGAGGAGCAGATTGTGAGACGGCCTGGCAGTTCTGCAGGGGAGGTGTCAGGTGGGGCCTCTGTGCATGCCTGGCGGTGACGGCCACAGGCCCCAGGTCCTGTTCTCTGATGGGTCCCACCTGTGGGGAGGCCTTTCTCCATTGCTGGAGACCTGAATCCTGGCAAGCCCTTCATTCATTCAGCACCTCTTTGCCTGAGCCCAGCTGTCCACAAGGCAGTGAGCTTGGTCTGACCTCCCAGGCCACACAGTCTTGGTCAGTGGCAAGAGGACCCCAGTGTCTCACCTTGAGCTCACAGACCCCCTGCTCTCCCTGCTCCAGGGTGATGGCGTTGTCCCCTGGGTTCTTGGAGCCTGGTCCCCAAATGGGGGTGGGGCTGAGGCTAAACTCCAGACCGATTGCCTTATAAATACATCCCCCCTCACCAACAGTCTCGGGATTAAATTCTCCCCATACCACCACCCTGCAAACACCACCTCTTTCCCATCAGAGCTTGACTGGGAACACCAAGGCGTACACGGGAATGTCCCCAGGCTCAGGTTCAGATGATGGGGATGCCAATCCCAACCCCACTGGGGTCAGTTAGCTTTGAACTCTCTGCTGATTTGGTCTGTAGTATTTTTCCTGCTCTCGCCTAATACATCAACAAGAACCTCATTCTCAAAACCCAACAATTCACTTCTTAAAAGACAAGTTGCAGAGCAGAGGATGCTTGATGTGGAGCCAGACAGGCCTGGGCTGTGTCCTGGCGAACTTGCCTCCTTCTCTGTGTCTGATGCTGCCTCAGTTTCCTTGACTATCATCAGGAATACAACAACCAGCCTGGAAAGATTGTCCATGGAATCTGAGGTGCAAGATGGCGGGAAGTGCACTGAGAACAGAGGGGATTACCATCACGCTTGCATTTTTATTTTTAACCTGCGTGAAATTCTGGAAACCATTGGCTGCCAAGAAATGCTAAGCTGTAGTTTATGTTCCATGGGGAAATGGGTTTATTTTAAGTGGGAATTGCATGGTGTGCAACTTATTTATTTGGGAAACATGGGTAGATCCAAGGCAGCCCCAGCCACCCGGATCTCTCCTTGGCACGCCCTCCTAGTATGCACCGACTGTCTGTTCACAGTTAAGACTCTTTCCAGAATCCAGGAACAGACTCTTTTCACCCACGTTAGGGCTGCTCAGCCTGGGTTTGCACAGCCTGCCCTGCACGCAGCTCCCCCCAAGCTGACAGCACTTCACACCAGAGAGCTGTGGCTGCTGGGCTCGTGAGCAGAGACACGGCCACAGCCGGTCCTCACAGCAAGCCTGTGGTGGGCGACGGGGTTCAGGAGGGCGACGCTCCACAGTGCTGCCAGGCCCTGCTTCCCTCATTCCTCCACGCTCACCACTGAAATCTCGGTGCAGGAATCACGGCCTGTTTCCCAGGGAACCAGGCCTGTGACAAACCCTGTAAGTAGCTGTCTCTGTTTCAGAGATGAGAAAACTGAGATGTGGAAGATGGAAACCTCACTAGAGGCCCCGAAGCAGGTGCACAGCAGGGTTGGGATTCGAACTGCATGTTACAGAATCAGAGGAGCCACTGCTAGTGTTGATGAAGTCTGCCTGGTGGACCAGAGAGCTCTGGAAGGGGTGCCGTCTGAGCTTTGAACGTTTGCCTGGGAAAACAGTGAGTGGGGTGGAGGGTACTTCTGGCCAATGGAGCAGCTCAGTAGAAGCTGTGGTTCTACTTCCTCCCTTCTGTGCCACCAATTGCCCCCAGAATGGCCTATCCCCCTCTCTCAGCTGCCTGTCCTCTGCCCAGAGCCAGGCAGCTTAAATCCACGCATCAGCCAGGGCCTCCTGCACACCGTGTCCTTCCCAAGACCACCAGGGCCCTAGTTACCAACTTGGAAGAGAGTGATTTAAACGGGAACAGGTGCCTGCGAACTCACTGAGAAGGCTGAATAGGCGAGGCAGCTGAACTTCCTGGAGTGACTGGCCAGGGTGGCCGCTGTGGCTTCTGCCTCAGGAGGCTGGGGAATCAGAGGGACACCCTTCGACTGTGTGCTCAAGAGCACATGGCACTGGGCAGATGGAAAATTGTACAGGGAGACGTGAGGGTGGTCACATGGGTATGTGTAGCCAAGCAAAACACTATCAAGCTCGCACTTTGTGCACTTTATGCAGCGGGTTGTGCCTCATTTGAAAAGAACCACAGCTACACCTGCCACCGGGGACCAGCAAGGGAACTCAGGAGGTCGCTGCTGAAACTGCTTCTTGATACCATGAAGATGGACAATGACCCTGGAGCACAGAGTCCGGACCACACCGCCCCCCCCCAGGAGCCGGCAGCAGCCACTCTCCAGGGCACACGACACCCCTGGCTGCCAACAGAGAGTAGCCCGAAGCAGAGGAACGAGGGCCCCGCCTCGCTTCTGCTGGGCTCCAGCTGCCTCTGTTTGGTGGAACCTAATTTGTCTTAGAGCCAGAGCTGCAGGGGCATCTGGGAAAGGTGGTTGCTGGCTTCCCAGCACGGAAGGCAGTGAGCGGGGTTCTGAGCTGGCCAGCCCCAGGGACCCTTCCACGCCCGCTTCGTCTGCTCTGTAGCCCATCAGATCTGACATTTCTCCCCGTACCTATGTGTGCTGTCTTCTTCCCACCAGAATGTGGGTGCTGCCCCACAGCCCCGCACCTGTGCCGGGCTCAGCTTGCAGTAGGTGCTCAGAAATATCCCTGAGTGGCTGGACAGCAGCTCCTCAAACCACTGCAGCCGATCTCTCTGCCCCCAGCCTCTTGCTCTTCGACCCTGCACAGTGCTACCACAGACCCTTCCGCCACATAAAGCTGACTGTCTCTCTCCCTTGCTTAAAATCCTGCTATGGCTCCCAGGAGCCAAAGGATCAAGTCCAGACTTCCCTGCCAGCCTGATAAGCCCGTGTCCCCACCATCAGGCTAGTGTTCCCGACCCACTCACAGCACCGAACCTGCCCCGCCTCTCCCTTGAGCAGCTCCCTGGCGTGGACAGCCTCTCACACTCCGCGAGGCGACTCCTGTTCATCCTCAGAGCCCAGTCCGAAGCTCCCCCCCCCCACAGCGTCGTGGCTTTCTAATTGTCCTCCCTCTTTCCTTGGCTGTCTCCTCTTCAGGCAGCTCGTAGCAGCCAACGACTGTGTCTTAGTCACCGCTGCAGCCTGGAAACCCATGCCTGGAACAGAATGGGCACACGAGAAATGCTATGTAGGGGCGTGGGTGAACCCAGGGCGAGTTCAAAGAGCGGCTCAGAACTTAGCATATATTTGCACACCGACCTCTGACTTCATCCTCATCTACACAACTATGGTGCTACAGAGTAGTGGGGGGTAGGGTGGTTTTTCACTCCCATTTTATAGGCAAAGAAACTGAGGCCGGGAAAAGTTTAAACAAGACAGAGTGGCAAGTGGCAAAGCTGACCAGAGGCACAACCCCAGAGGCGGTGCTCCTGAGCTCAGCTCAACCCAGGGCGGCATGGAGTGCTGCAATTAAGACTTCTAGGAGAGGGGCCTTTGATCCAAATCATACAGCCCCTTGCACTCCGGGGCAATTAACGCGGAGCCACCGGATGGCCTTTGCAGCAGCGTGGGCGACACAGGGCATCATTACCTGGTGCCACGCTGCCTGCCCCACCCAGCCCGACGGAGGGCCCAGGCGGTGCCCGGCATAGCTGGACAGGGCACAGATTTCTATGCTGGAGAACTCAGGAGGAGTCCATGCCTTGCAGGCTCTAAACCAGGGCCCCCAGAACCAGAGAGGAGCTTCCCCAGACCACCAGCTCTTGCTCTCACCCCTTCATACTGGCCCAAGTCTTCCCTCCTTGAGAGCCCCGCTCTGATCACGCAACCGAAACCTGAGCGCTCTCTCCCACGTACACGCCAATCCCGTTACCAGCCCGGCTCTTCCTGTGTCTGTGGCTCCCCCAGCACCTGGGATGGGGCCTGCGGTGCGGCAGGCCCTCCAGAGACTCTTGCTGAGTGAATGAATGAATGAATGAATGAATGAATGAATGAATGAAGCTTCTGTGCACACATACTTGAGTGTAAGGAACTAGCAGCGTGCCTGAACAGGTCACCTTCCTGCTCTCCGGGCCCTCGTGTGCCCCTCGGTGGGACAGGAGAGGCCTCCCTGCCTTGCCAGAGATTAAGAGACCCTCAGAGGTAACAGAGGTGGGGCCCTTGCCAGGGGCCTGGCACTTGGCAAGGTCTCAAAACTTTCTCTTTTCCCTTCGCATCTGGAGGTGCTCTCCCCTCGGCTCCTGTAGAGGCGCTTGCTAGCCGTTTAATGTGCTGCCATGTCTCTGAGTACGCGACAGCCCGAGGGGGCGCAGGGTTCCAGGTAGGCACGCCGCATAGCAAACAGCCCCAACCTAGCAGTGAAAGCATTTTATTGCCAGGCTTCATCCATGGCGTGGTGATGAGGTCACTGAGTGACATTCGGCAGGCCGCTGGGCTGGCGGATCTGGAGGGGGTGTGCAGACACATAAAGACAAGTTCAGGGTGGTCCCTTACCTCGGTGTTCACCATCCGACCCCGCAGGCCCAGTGGCAGAGGGAAGCAGACTCGCTGGTGCATGGAGCTCTGCTCTGTGGCCGGCAGGCAGCCTCTCTGCTCAACTCCAGCTCTCGCCCTGCTGGAACCCCACATCCTTGTGTCTGCTCGAGGCAGAGCAGTCCCAGGCCGCCTGACTTTCCCAACTGCAAACAACAGTCGGGAAATGTTTGCTGTCCTAGGTGGAGAATCCTGAGCCATGTGTCCGGGAGCTGACCCGCACGCAGAAAGAGTCCCGGGCGCGCTGGGGGCAGACTCTCGTGGGGGAGTGGGGGGCTGCTGACCTGCAGCTGCGGTCACAGCTGAGCACCCGGGGGCCCTGGAGCCGGGATAAGACTGCAGTTGTCCCGATTCGAGGCCAGGCTCCACAGCCCGGCCACGACCAGCCCCTCAGGCAGCCTGCCCCGCTGAGGGGCAGGGCACAGCCTTGGGCCAGGCTGCTGTCCTCTGCGGAGGGCAGCTTCTGGAGGACTTGGCTGTGTGCTCCCCACAGGGTAACGAGGGCCTAGGTGGCAGGAGCGGAGGGCAGACGCAGGACCCTGGTGCATCCAGCTCCCACTACTACTGCAAGGCAAATTGCAAAGTTTGCAAAGATGCATGCTTTTCTAGAAGTGGGTCAGAAGTGTTTGTATTAGCTTCCTATCACTGCCGTGACAAATGACCACAAGCTTAGTGACTTAGACAACACACAGTTATGACCTTACAGTTCTGGAGGTTAGACGTCTGAAATGGGTCTCAGGGTGCAAAAATGAAAGTATGGGCCAGGCTGTGTCCCTTCTGGGGTAAAAGGGACTGGGCCTCTTCCTGCTTCCAGAGGCCCCGCGCTCAGTGGGGCCACGGCCCTTCCTTCTGTCCCCCAAGTGCATCCCTCCGACCTCTGGCTCCTGCATCACGTCTACTTCCTATGGCATCCTCGCTCCTTCCCGCCTCTTATGAGGACCTTGTCACCACACGGCCTCACTCAGCCAGCCTGGAAGCATGTCCCCATCTCAAGGTCCTCACCTTCATCGCACCTGCAGAGCCCCTTGCCATGGAAGGCAGCATATTCTCGGGTTCCCAGGGTTAGGATGTGGACAGCTTAGAGACCGTTCTTCTACCCACCACCAAGTTTTCCAAGAATTTCTTCTGCCACCGCAGGCTTGGGCCGGATGAGGCTCTGGTGGAATCACCTCGGTGCATGTGTGATGGAGAGCCAGCGCGTGGGACAGCACAGGGGCTTTCCAGGGGGTTGTTTGGGTGCCCAAGCTCAGGAGAGGCCCTGGGAGCGCGGACCGTTCCTCCAGCGCTGTGGAAAGTGCCGCCCTCGGCTCGCGGCTCCTCCTGTCCTGTAGTTTGTCAGATCCCTGGAAGGGTCAGCTCTCTCCTTGTCCTAACCAGTTCCAGGAGTCAGTCCCTAGTTTTAACAGGACTAGGTGTTGTGAAATCTGAGATAAATTGTTTCACAATTTTAACTTTGATTTACAAACTAAACTCTGAGTAGCCTTCTCCTGCCCTTGGTGCCTTCCCCGGAACCCTGTGGCGTCACAGCCAGGGCGTCCGCCTGCGAACGGCGCTGGGCCGGGTCTCCAGGAGGCACGGGCGTGCGGAGGAGCAGGGCCGGCGCTGCCAGAAGACGGGCTCCAGACAGCTGGACTTCACAGGCGCTGCCCCTGAGGCGAAGTGCCGGCTTGGCTGGCAAAACAGAGAGTGTGCGTCAAGCAGGAGGGTCACATAGGCACAGAGCCATGGAACCACTTGAAGGTTCTGGAACTCTAAGAGGTTCCAAAGGGATGCCACAATAATGGGAGGATGCTGGGAAAGAGAAGGAAGCCCTATACTACAGACCACGTGGGGGTGGGGCAAGAACCGCAGCGCCTCCTGCAGAGAAGCCATCTGAGACTAGGGCTGGGAACAGAACGGGGCTCCCTGGGCAGGGCACAAGGAGACGCAGGAAGGAGAGGCAGCCAGGGCCATGGGGAGGAGCCAGGCCCCTGAGCCCACTGCCTGGGTTCACATTCCAGGCTCAACCACTTCCTAGCTATGTGACTTTGGGCATGGCACTTCACCTCCCTGTGCCTATGTCCTCAGGTCTCAGGAGGTTGTTAATGACGTGCAATGCCTTAGCTCGGGCAAGCCTCTAGGGCCAAGAGCCGGCGTAGGAACAGCATTTAGACGCTGTTCTTCTAACCCTGTTAGATGTTCTAACCTTGTTGGTTCTCTTCTTAGAAACTCATTTTACTTTTGAATCCTTTTCTTCTTCCTTGGAAGAACATTAAGTTTGGAACCCATAACTGACATTACAGCCTTCATATTCATTATTTCAGTTTCTCTTCCTTCCCTTTTAAAAAAGCCCAGCTTTATCAAGATATAATTGACATAAAATAAACTGTATATATTTTAAGTGTACAATTTGATAAAATATTAGCATATGTATATGATCACAAATCTATCATCACAATGAAGTTTATTAACATAAAAGCATCATCCCCTGAAGTTTCCTCGCAGTATCTTTGTAATCCCTTCCTCTCCCCTCCACTCTGCACCCCAGGTGCCCACTGCTCTTCTGTTTGTTTTTATAAGATTTTCTAGAATTGTATGTAAATGGAATCATACAGTGTGTACCTTTGGCCTGGCCTTCTTTCACTCTGCATTATTAATTTGAGATCTGTCTGGGTGTTGTTTGTGTACAAATGGTACGTAACATTTTTCTTGCTAAGTAGTGCTGCATTGTATAGCTCTATCACAATTTGTTTGCTGTTCATCTGCTGATGGACATTCAGATTGTTTCTGTAACAGTTTAGGGCTACTGTAAATAAAGCTGCTGGGAACATTTGCACAATTCTGTGTGCTTTCACCTCCCTTGACTAAATACCTAGTAGTACAATCTAGTGGACTGTGTGTGCATGTATCTCTTTGAGAAACTTCCAAACTATCTTCTAAAGAGAGCATCATTTTTCATGCTCCTACCAGCAGTGTGAGAGCTCCAGCTGTTCCACATTTTCACCAGTGAGAGTCGGCAGTCTTTTTAATTTTAGCCATTCTAGTGAGTGAGTAGTGATCTCTCTTTGTGGTTTTAATTCGCTAATGGTTCATGATGCTGCGCATCTGTTAATATGAATATTTTCCATCTGCATATCTTTGGGGAAGTGACTATTCAAATCTTTTGCCCATTCAAAAAATCAGTTTGTTTGAATTATTAGTGAGCTATAAGAATTCTCTATGTATTCCAGATACAAGAGATACAAATTTATTTTGTGTTTTTTGTTTTGGATATATGTTTCACAAACACCTTTGCCCAGTTAATGGCTTGCCTTTTCATTTGTGTGTCTTTTGAAAAACAAAAATTTTAAATTTGGGTGAAATACAATGTGATATTTTTCTTTCGTATTTGGTGGCTTCTGTATCTTATTTCAGAAATCTTTGTGAAACCCAAGATCAGCATGATTTTCTCCTATGCTTCCCTCTGGAAGTTTCATAGTTTCAGCTCTTACATTTTAGATTTATGATCTATTTCAAGTTAGTTTTTGCTTATGCTTTGAGATCAATGTCAGGGTTTGCTTTCCTGCCCATGGCTATCCACTCGTTACAGCACCACTTGTTGAAAGAGTATCCTTTCCTTATGGAATTGCCTTGGTACTTTGCCACAAGTTGAATGTGGGTCCTGGTTCCAGGTCAGATAGAGTCTGTCTCTCCTGCTGAATGCAACTATAAAACCTCGACAGACCGAACAAGCAGTTGTATGGGGTTCGGAAAAGGAAATAGCACAGGAGGACAGAGGAAGTACCACTGAGAGAACAAGTCTACTGTTTTTTAATGCAGCTGGAAACCCAGAAGTGCAGGCTGTGGAGCTGCAGGAGCGGCTGTCTACCTCTGGCTCGGGGAGTGAGAGAGAACCCCAACCCTCAGCACAAGTGTGGCAATGCCAGGGCTTCCCCATCCTCTCGCTGCCCTCTCCCAACTCGCAAGCAACCCGGGCTGCGGAGGAAACACCAGCAGGGGAAGGTACAGGGCCCAAGCAGGAAACGGGTCTCGTCTCCCCAGGGCTGAGACTGTAGTCCCAAGTAGGGGATCAACCCTCACGGTTTTTTGTCTCTCTCTGTCCTTCTGCCACTTGGCCCTGCATGTGGGTGCAGTAGGCAAATGTGACGCAGAGCAGATTAATTGAAGCCCAGTGTTCTTGCCAGAGGACTGAAAAGGGAAAGCTTGGGAAATTGCAAAGTATTTGGGAAACCATGGAGAGAGAGGAATTTTGGAAAGTGATATGTAAAGTTGTTTATGAACTCCTGGCTTCATCCCTCAACTCCTGGCCTGTGCGTGTGTGGGCCCTACCTTATTTAGCGTGCCCAAGACTTTGAGAGCTGAAGTAATAAGTAACAAGCCCCAGGCTAATCAATACTAGCCAATGGGTGGAGCACCCACCCATGGAACTAGGACAGATCTAAATAGCATGACAAAGGCTAAATAGAAGCTGGAATCATAGATCTGAAACTCTTCTTCTTTTTCTAAAATGCTCATTTATTGTTATAAATTTCCCTCTAAGCACTGCTTTGACTGTATTTCACAAATTTTGGTAATTTTTGTTTTACTCTTTCAATCATTTTGAAATACTTTCTAATTTCCCTTTTGATTTCTTCTTTGACCCATTGTTTTTTAAAAAAGTATAATTTAATTTTCAAATATCCTTATGCTATTGATTTCAAATTTAATTTCATTGTGTGATCAGAGTCCTTTTAAATTTATTGAGACTTGTTTTATGACCCAAAATATGATCTATTTTGGTAAATATTTCATGTGCACTTGAAAAAAAATGTCCATGCTGCTTGCTCTTGTTGGACAGAATCCTCTAAAAATATTAATTGGGTCAACTTGAGTGATAGGCCTGTTCAAGTCTTCTATGCCTTGGTGATTTTTGCTCTACTTGTTTCATCAATTATTGAGAGATGATATTCAAATCTGTGACTAATAGTGCACTTGTCTATTTCTTCTTTCAATTCTATCAGTTTTTTGCTAGTATTTTAAAGCTCAACTAATATGAAGATAAACATCTAGGGTTGTTCTATCCTCCTGATGAATGCCCTCTGTATCATTTAAACATTATGCCCTTTACCCTTGGTAATATTTTTTGCTCTGAAATCTACTTTGTCTGATATTAATATAGCCACTCCAGCTTTCTTTTGATTAGTGGTAACATGGGTTTTCCATTCTTTTAGTAAGAAAAAGTTTATATACAGTCATGTGTTGCATGACAACATGTCAGTCAATGACAAACCACATATGTGTCTGTGGTCCTGTAAGATTACAATAATGTATTTTTCCATGTTTACAAATGTTTAGATACACAAATACTTAACATTGTATTGCAATTGCCTACAGCATTCAGTACAGTAATATGCTGTACAGGTTTGTAGCCTAGAAGAAATAAAATATGCCATTTAGGATAGGTGTGTGATAGGCTGTGCATCTAGGTTTGTGTACATTTATTCTACAATGTTCACATAATGATGAGATCGCCTAACAAAATATTTCTTAGAATGTATCTCCATCTTTAAGCAATGTATGACTGTGTTTATGTTTACAGTGGGTTTTATGTAGGCAACATACAGTTGGATTTTGCTTTTTTATCCAATTTTTGCTTTTTAATTGGAGTGTTTAGATCATTTACATTTAATGTAATTACGTAAATGGTTGGGTTTAAATCTACCATCTCACAATTTGTGTTTTTAATGGTCTCATTTGTTTTTAATCCTCATTTCCCTCTTTTTTTCATTTTTAAAGTTTATTTACTTATTTATATTTTAATGACTCCATCGTAGTTCCTTTGTTGGCTTATTACTTACAACTCCTTGTTTTGTTTCATAGTGATGCCTTAGGGCTGACAGGTATACATTTTTAACTTGTCACAGGTTACCTCCAAGTGATATACCACTTCACATTGTAGTATAAGAATCAACCTCATCCTGGGCTTTGTGCTGTTGTTGTCATACATTCAACTTCTATAGTTTATAAAGCATGCATAATTTTTTTTAATTTAAATTGTCAATTATGTTTTAAAGTGGTCACAAACAAGAAAATATAAAACCCTTTACGTACCCACATACTGACCATTTATGCTACTCTTTATTCCTTTGTGTAGATCCAGACTTCCATCCAATACCTTTTTCCTTCACCTGAATAACTTCTTTTCATATTTCTTATAGCTCTGTTATGCTGCTTTGAATTCCTCTATGTACTTTCACCTTTACTTTTTTTATTTCACCTTTCTCTGTAAAAAAATTTTTCACTGGGTATAAAATTTTGGTTGACAGGGTTTTTTTTTTAAGTTCTTTAAAGATTCCACTGCACTTCTCCCTGGCTTGCACTGTCTCCAGTGAGAAATCTGCTGCCATTCTTATCATTGTTTTCTGCATATGATATCTTCTTTTACAGACTACTTTTAAGATTTTCTCTTTATCAGTGCTTTCAAGCAATGTAATTATGATGTGCCTTGCTGGGGCTTCTTCACATTGTTTGTACTTGGATTCACTGGGCATCCTGGGTTAAGTTTTCATCAAATTTGGGAATTTTTTACTTATTAATTCATCCAATATTGTTTCTATTCTTCCGTGTCTCTCTTTTCTTTTGTGGACTACAACTATACATATATTAGCAAACTGAAAGTTGTACCACCACTCACTGATTGCTCTGTTCAATTTTTCCCATCTTTTTTTCCCTTTGTGCTTCAGTTTTGAATAGTTTTCTATTTCTAG